CGAAAATGGAGGAGAAGAGAAAGAGATTTTGATCTCTGATCTTTAGGATGTGTTAAGAATATGAGAAAATTGATGAAGGCTTGGGTTCAATTTATAGAGTTGTGGGGGACTACCATGCTTAATGCTTAAGGAGTAGTCTTTTTGCAATTTAGGAAAACTTAGGAATTATCTAGAGGGACTTCTTTGCAATTTCATTTAACTATTCAAAAAGGAAAATCTTAATGTACATGGGCTTACCTAGAGAAGGGTTGTACTCAAGGAAAATTTTGGTTTTGTATTGTACCATGGTCAAAATTGAGGGATGAATAGGAGGAATTTTCTATTTTTATTTAAGAAAATATGTGATTTTAAAATTTTCCTAACAAATAAGTTCTAGCAACAAAGGAGTATAATTAATCTCTAGATTAATAATTAACTAAGATGATCAATTTAAATTCGTCCAAAAATTATTTCAGACTAATGCATTCTATATGAAATTTCACCGGTTATCACATAAATAAAATCTTAAACAAATAAACGCACATAAGAGATAAAATCACGTTAACTAAATAGATGCTAATTAATGAAAAATTAAATTATCGGAGACGCGGGGTGTTACATTTAATTTACAAATATTGGATGCTTGAAGCAATTGCATGACTTGTGGTTTTTGGCAATGGTAGTGACCGAGTGCTTTTGAATTTTGAGCTTGCAAATGCCTAAAATTTTTCATTATAATTACAAGTTCTAAAAACGTGAAGTTGATCATTAATCTATGTAATGAGATGTAGTAGTTGAGTTATTTGCTTATGAGTAGATTTTGCTTGAGGAGAAGCAAAAGTTCAAGTTTGAGGGTTAAGTGTATATTTTTACACTTAATCGTTTCTTTTAATTGGATCTTTTGGTGTGTTTTATTGATAATTGGTGATTAAAATGTTGATTTATTGTGTTTTAGGTACAAATTGAAGAATTGGATAAGTAGGGGGTCAGAACTGCAATTTTGGAGAAAATATGGGCAAAAAGTAAAGAAGTAAAAAATCTGAAGAAATATAGCTCAGACGGCCGTCTGAGAAATACACTTAAATCTCAGACGACCGTCCGAGAAACAGAGGCAGTCTCTGCTTTTGAGACGGCCGTCCGAGTTTTATTACAGTTCATGTAACTGGCCACTTTATGTGCTTTTATGTTATTGTTAATCGCATGAATCGTAAGATCGGGTTAATAATTAGAACTGTGGTAGAAGAGCATTTGTGGTATTAACATAGGAATATAGTTAATCTCTTGGGTAGCCATTATTGAGATTTGTGCTTAATGTTGTGTTCTAGAATTAATTGCGTAGGAATATAGTAATTGAATCTAGGGTATTAGAATTATAATACACGCGGAAGCGGGTTATGATTAATTTAGCCTCTCAAGTTAATAATTCGAGTGAATTGCTTGCATAATTGAAGGGATTGGGGGAGTAATAATCACATAGGGGGAAGAATAAAATCCTAGGCTTGCTTTATCTGGTTAAATCTTCGCTTTTAATTGCTTTCTTGCTTTTGTCTTTTTAATTTGCTTAATTTAGTTTATTAATCCTCTTTCGACTGTGTAGGGTGGGCTTGTTTATAATTGCTAGAATTTATCGGTTAGGATTAAATAATTAAATAT